CCATTTTTTGTTGAAAAATCCATAGACCAAGATTTTGTGTGTGTGTACCCTTAGTTAGATTCTATTGGACTCTGATGAATAACAAAAGTCCCAAAACAATTAACTGTGCTAGTTACATTCCTTAAAATAAACTTATCCATGTTCTAAATTTTATCAGAGTCCAATAGAATCTAACTAAGGGTACACACACACAAAATCTTGGTCTATGGATTTTTCAACAAAAAATGGTGAGATGGCAAATTGAATGCTTTTTATTTTTCTAAAAATTGTAAAGCAAATTTCATATTTTAAAATCCGTGGTTCAAGTTTACATGATTCTGTTGCTTGCATTAAGACACAGAAGGTACTTTTTTTTTCCTAAGTCGACTCAAAAGAAGTATATGTTCTTGCTGCTTCTGGTTTTGTTGCAAAAAATTTATTGTACAGTGAACCCTCGTTAGTGTGGTCATGTTCTCGGATATCATTTACACCACCTTCTATTCAAGCAAACTCAAGCTATAAATTAATATATTCTCTTGTATTCTCTGTGCAAAAAACATTCCCTCACAGTCTTAATTATTCTGAAACGTCAAATGGAAAAAACAAATTTACCTAGTGAATTTCTTTGAGTCTCCTATAAAAAAACAAATAAGCCTATAATAATTTATAGCATCATATCTAATATTGTTTTTTCTACAAACATAACTAAAAGGTTTATCTTTATTAAAAGTTATTCAATTTTTATAAAATATTTAACATCTTTTCTAAGTATGTTTGGTTTCTATAATCTCTTAAATGAATTTGAAAGCTCTGAATATCACCATAAAAAGTTTTCTTTCAAATTATCCTAATTTTGAATGTGAGAAATGAATGGTATTTGTAACTCAGGACACAGTCGAGTAGGCATGAGACGTAACGGAGATATAGAGGGCGTTAGACAGTCCAGTGGCAACTGGCAGTCTCGTGGGCAGTTTTCTGGTGGTCCTTCATGGCTAAAGAAAGTAGTTGTGAAACCAATGTCTTTTCAACAAGTTCATCAGCACGAGAGAGTGAGGCAAGCGGCAGCTGATCATGAGCTGGCACATTTTAACCGTGAGAAAAGAAAAAAACCAATACGTGATGTGCAAGAGGTATTTTGGGCTAATAAACGTATTTATTACATTTGAAGTCCGTTTATGAAAATACTAACTGTTGTAAAGGTTGTCAATATTTCAAATACAGTTTAAGCTTTACAATAATATATAAAAAATTAGACTTGTTTTAAATCTGCTATCTGTATATTGATAATGTTTTTCTTATTAATTAAAATATTAGCATATTTACTTCCCTTTACTTACGGACATGAATTTTAGCAACATATTTTTGTATTAGGTATTTTGTTTTCTGGTAGCATTTATTTCACTTTTAACACATAATAAGATATCTGCAGAACGAAACTTATTTGTTGGATAATATAAAAAAAGAAGGAACCAGAACTATTAAAGTAATTCGTGACTGATAAAAGTACGAAAGGCAGTGATTCTGGAATTAAGTTTAATAATCAGACTACAATATTTTTTGTTATTGGTGTGTAATTTATAGGTATTTGTCTTTATTGTTTAACTTGCATTAGATTGATTGTGGTTTTTGCTGTTATTGGTTTACTTGCACTAAACAAAACTAGACATTTACCAGTGGTACAAAACTTCTTAACCTGTGTTCATTGTTCAGTAAACAGTTGTACAAAACTTCTTAACCTAAGTTCATTGTTCAGTAAACAGTTGTACAAAACTTCTTAACCTAAGTTCATTGTTCAGTAAACAGTTGTACAAAACGTCTTAACCTAAGTTCATTGTTCAGTAAACAGACTGTCCTTTTCAGTCAGTAAACATGTATTTTGTAATGAGGATTTTCATTAATAACCAGGATTACGTAAATTCTTGTTCGATTCTGCCACCTCATCTTTTTTAAAAAATTATGGTACATGTTTCTTAGATATTTTGATATATTTTCTCATATTTTAATTTTTTTTATCAGTATTATGTATGCCTTCCTTTCATAAATGTTGTGAGAGTGATTTTATTGCACTTTTACATTAGTATTAGGCCTAGCTCATATTAGATGCAAAGATGTATGCAATAACAAATATTATTGTAGTGTGTGTGTATGTGTGAAGGTAGAGCTATCTGTGATAAGTTGTCTACCACACAAACAATTCTCAGTCATTCTCCTAAGAATAAGGTCTTCCAGTAATATAATTTCTAATTACAACAGCTAGATACATGATATTTACGTAGAATGCATATTTTGATGCTTTTTGAAATACTTATTTTTGTTTGCTTTTTTTGACATCTTTAGCAATTTTTTTTTTCTGAAGTGGGAATAGCAGCACTATACTTTGGATTTTGGACAATAAACTACTTTTGTGTTCCTTTAACAGTAGCTACATCATTAATTTGACAACATCGAAATTAAACTTTAGGAAAGGTTCTCATTATTATGATCTATGTAGTACATAACCAATGAATATGTCATAATATAAACTAAAACTTTTTATTCCAATTTTTTTTAAGTTCATATGATGTTCACTTCATTCTTTGAATTTGAGGCAATTACATTTTAATTAGCTTTCATAACTTCTAGGAAGAAACTGACAGTTTGAAGATAAGACGGCAAAGACGTAGTACTCGTAAGCAGCAACAGCAACAGAATACTAGGACAAGGTCAGTTAGGGAACTAACGAGGAACAATCGTTATGCTGAAGATTTTGAGGTAATTGTAACTTCTAACTACTAGACTTCAGAATTGAAAGCTGTGTGAGATTTTCAAAAATTTTTTAAAAGAAATGTTTAATAATTTTTTCCTTTTTTGTCATAAAGCTGTAGACTTTACTGATTATGTTACTCAAATCAGCTCTAAGAAAAAAATATTGAAATGTAAGAAACATTGATTTGCTTCACTGAGAACAAAGAATTTTAGGTGCCAAATGAAGGAAGGTTGATCTTGATTTGCTATACTGAGAACAAGAATTGTAGAGATCAATTTAAGAAAACCTTGATGTTTAAAAGGTATAAGAAATGTGTTTAAAAAAACAAATATGCAATGAGTTTTAAGTGATTTTTCTTGAAGAAACTAAATGTTAGGGAATTACAGACAAAAAATAAAGTTGTGTTATTGTTCAAACATATCGTCCCCCCTCACATAAATATAGTCCTTAGTTATTATAAAAGACACAGCAGTAGTTGTTAAATGGAAACATCTTGTAATTTCTTTTTTGATTTATTATAATAAATACTTAAATCACATAAATACTTGTCTTTAGAATCCAGAGGAAATAAGCATTAGCAGCTCAAATCCTTCAGAAAGTAGCGATGAAGATGGTAGAACGTGGGCAGACAGTTCTAGTGGTGAGGCAGGAACGTAAGTTTTCAGAAAGAAAGACAAATTTTTAAGCTATTTTAAATTTTTTTAATTCATTATTGAATTTGTGAGTAATGTGACTTCTGGGCTTTATTTTCTTTTTTAATTATTCTTTTTCACATACTATGATTTTATAACTGTACAACCTTGATATTAAGACTGTTTAAACCACTAATTAATAATGAAAAACTCTGTCCTGTATTGCTTTTTATATCACTCTTTTTGCCACCCCCACCCCCCACCCCCCGTGGCACAGCGGTATGTCTGCGGACTTACACCGCGGGTTTCGATACCCGTGGTGGGCAGAGCACAGATAGCCCTTTGATTAGCTTTGTGCTTAATAACAAATGGCAACAACAACTCTAACATGGAAACCTCATTTGTAAACCATGTTTGTTTTATGAATAGACAAAAACTAGTTACCTACATGTGAAAAAATAGTTTTCTAAAAAATTTATCATTTTGAAATACGTGCTTATTACAGCATCACACATATACAGGATCTTAGAAAGATATATATATCTATATCTTTCAGAGACTCACCAGAACATTCAGATTGGACTGCCGATGTTGGTGTGAGCTTAGACTCTTCAAGAAAGAAAACAAGAACACTAAGATATCAATCTAACGAGGAAGACGATGAAGGAGAAGAAGAAACGCAAGCCAAAGAAGAAGAAGAAAGAAAAGAACGCAAGCGAAAACAGAACAAACGAGTTAGTTTATTTTTCTGTGTGGTAACACTGGTTTTGAAATATCAAGATTCCATTGGAGTGTTTAATTGTAATAGTTTTATATACTTTTAATTGAAAAGTAAATAACATTTAATTTTTAAAAATCAAGAATAATTATTTCTTATGTTTAGAGAAACAGAAAAATAAAAGAAGTGCCTGAGGAATATAAACCCCCTGAATGGCTCACAGATGTAATTCCCCATAAGACTCCATATGTTCCTCAAGTTGGAGACGAAGTGGTTTATTTTCGGCAAGGACATGAACTATACATTAAAGCTGTCAGAAAAGGAAAGATATATGATATCAGTTTAAAAAATCAGCCTTTCAGGAAACACAACTTGAGGGTAAGTATTTCTTATTTTTAAAGATGTATTTCACTAATTGCTAATTTTATTCAAGCAAGATAACATCTAGAGAGATTCTAGAAAAGCTTGCTAAACTAAAACAAGAAGAACTATGTATTTAATATATAGTTAAGTTATTACAAAAAGACATTAGCATATTTCTTTAAAGTACACAACCATTTGATGGCCATCGTGCAGAAGAATTCAAATGATAAAAAAAAATGTTTATAGAAAAATTGTTTATACATAATCTAAATTACTCTATATGTAATAAACACTTAATCATTTTAAATCCTTTCTTTTCTTCTAAAAGGAACAAGAACTAGTTCGTGTAGAAGACATAAAGTATGAAATACGGCCTCCACGTTTGTGTCATCTCCAGTTAGTCATGATCGATCCAGAAACTGGAGATCCTACAGGAGAAAGTTTTACTTTAAAGTACCATGATATGGCTGATGTTATTGACTTCTTAGTGTTGCGCTATTACTACAATCAAGCGATGGAGCGACACTGGAAGGCTGGTAGGCTTTATTGACAATTAATCTTTATATCTATAAAGTAAATTAAAAATACAAAGATTACATATTACATTACATGTTAGTTAAGACAACAAGGAACCTGTTGTGATGGCTTTGATGGACAACTCAACCTAAAACACTCAAAGCCAGCCCTTATCATTCATATATATTTATCAAGCCTTTTCTTAAACTCCCTTAAAATTACTGCATCTACCACATCTGAAGGCATCCTATTACAAAGGCCAACCACCCTGTAAGAAAAATATAGTTGTCTTAGTTAAAGATGACTTCTACATGGCCAAAATTTATATTTGTGTTCCCTAGTCCTACCATTCTCATCATAAAGTACAAAACAAGATGATGCATCAGCACTGACAATTCCCTTATCAATCTTAAAGACCTCAATTGGATCCTTTTCTTCCAGAACACTGTTGAGATTTTTTCCCATAGGAAGTATACTCATAAATCAAATTATGGTATTCCACATACGTTACCTTGCATTTATTATAATTAAAAACCATCTTCCATTTATTCATCCAACAAAACAAATATCAAAATCTTTTCTAAAAAAAAAAACTTTAATGTTATGAACAAATTTAAGTAATTTATTGACCATTCCTTCATCTATATCATAGATGTAAATCTAAAAGAGCAAAGGTCCTAACATTGAGCTCTGAGGTATCCCACTTGTGACAATAATCCAGTTTGACTGAACTCCATTTATAACAATCCTCTGCTTTCTTCCATCCAGCCACTCTTCTATCCAATTATTGTTACAGAAAACAGTAACATTGTTCCTAGTGGTTTCTCTAACCAATTGTTAAAGAAAACAGTAACATTGTTCCTAGTGGTTTCTCTAACCAATTGTTAAAGAAAACAGTAACATTGTTCCTAGTGGTTTCTCTAACCAATTGTTAAAGAAAAACAATCTAAACAGTTTCTAAAAACCTGTTTCCATCATGATTTAACTTTATCATTTTCAAATCTATGTGCATGAAATTAAAATCACTCATAATTATGACTTCATTAACCGCTGAATTTCGTATCTCAATGTAGAATTTGTCATTAGTTTCAGCACTGTCATCTGGTGGTCTTTAACAAATTCCAACTGAAAGCTTTCTCTCCCTTATAACTGCTGACAGAAACCAAACAGATTGAACCTCATATCTGTTAGCTTTGATATCCTCAACTTGAACAGGATGTAACTCACATTTTACATATAAAGCCACTTGCACCCCTCATTTTTTATTAGTCTATACCTATTAAATAGCCCGTAACCCTGTATTTCAAAGTAATTTGTCTCATCAAAATCACCTACTTTTAACCATATTTCAGTTATTCCTATTCCTACCAGTGTTCCAAGGTATCTTTTTATTTCTTATACTTTTAACATTTCAATAGTAACAGTTTAGCCTACCATTAAAACTACTTTTGTACATTGTTCATTACACTATACTTTTCTTTACATTTTATTTTCTGTTCAGAATTCTGTCCTTCACCACTTTCTAGTACTAGATGCCCTTACAGTTGAATTAATAACCCTTGCAAACAAGCCAGCCCCTACTCTTTCAATGTAAACCATCAATTCCAAAAAGGTCCCTTCTTCCATTAAACTGATCTCGCAAGTCCAACCAGCTGATCTGTCATCCTTACAGATTAACGTAGGCCTAGGATTCAGCCCGAGTTACCTACTTATAATTTCATCCCCACAGTTAAATATCAGTAGAATTCTTGATAGAATTAAGTTATTATGGCTTTTTCTTTAAATTAGTTCCTCTGTCCTGTCCTACCCTGCATCATTAGCCCCTATGTAAACTACAAAGACTGCGTAACTGCTAGCATCCTTTACAATATCGCTGGCTCTGTCAGTTATATCCTTCATCCCTGTCCTTGAATAGTATAATCTAGTACTGTTGACCCTGTTGATGCCACAGGCTATTCTATCCACATGCCGTACTAAATAATCATCTTTAACAGTAATTTTCGTATGTTTTTCTTTCCCATCCCCATACCTCCCATTAGTTTCCCATCCCTCCTCTAGTTCATCTTTTACCCAAGTTAAAGATTGAAATCTGTTTCTCAATAGAACTTGCCTATTACAATTCAGTCCACCATTTGCAGCCCTATTAGTATCATGTAAATGTTGCAGTGAAGAGTTCAAGTATTGGTTGAGCTCACACACTTTTTAAGTTTTAATAAATGATTAATACATTTAATACATTTCTTTAGAAGTACAGATGTTTCCACATAAAGTATGTTAAAAAAGAATACTAAAAAATAACAAGTACATTAATCATTTTACAGAACATGTGAAGTAGTTTTTTCCAAGAAGAAAAATTTAAAATACAAAATGATGATAATTTGAATAATTATTTTTGACATATATATATATACACACACACACACACACACACACACACACACACATGCAAATCTAATCTTTTGGTCCATTTTTAGTCCCTATCTATGTTTTATCGTGGTAATATAACTTTTAAATTGCTTATAACAGTCATCAAAGTTTTATATATATTTTTAAATTGTATTGATTCAGCTAATAGTAATTCTAGGTGTCTGTGAAATAAACATTTCAGTAAAAAAACAATCATCATGAGTTATAAATATTATTTCAAAAACAATCATCATGAGTTATAAATATTA